GGTTACATTCATATGATTTCTCTCCAGTGTGTTTTCTTTCATGACTTTGGAGATAACTGTTATTTTCAAAGGCTTTATCACATTGTGTGTATACAGACGAATTCTCTCCAGTTTGCCTTCTTTCATGCCTGCCAGGAAAAGGGTAATATGTAAATGCTTTACCATATTCAATACAATGTTGAATCTTGTTACCTGTATAAATTAATATTACAATTTATTTCAGTTGTAAAGAAGAATCATATATTATAGTTTTATCACTGTGATTACATTCTTCTTTTCCCCTTCTTGAAGGGTTGCATGTATCTTTGAAAATAGCTGTGAATATATAATCCTTTATTACATGGTTCTCATTTTCAAAACCTTTTTCTACAGGTAATTTTTCACTTAATGACGAGAACCAGAAATATTCAGAAGTTTATCATCCTTTTTTGTATTATTAACTTTTCCTTCTCTGTGAGTCATAGAGGCTTCCTCAGTTAATTCAGTCTGACTTTCTGTTCCTTATAGATAAATGTTATTGTAATTACATATTCCCTACAATAACTGCCCCTTGACTCTTGACAATAATTGCTCCTGTCACAGCAAGTATGTGAGTAAAACCAACTTTTCTATGGAGTATTTGCTTAATGGAAGTTTTGGAGACATCACTATCAATTCAATCTTGTCTATATATTTAGTAACATATGTAGTGTATGTGAGTAAAACCAACTTTTCTATGGAGTATTTGCTTAATGGAAGTTTTGGAGACATGACTATCAATCCAATCTTGTCTATATATTTAGTAACATATGTAGTGTGAAATAAGTGGTACTACAGCATAGCTTTTGTGGTGTAATGATTTAAGTGGCAGTTTCTCTCAATGCTTTATTTCCTTGTCTTCTTTCTTAAAATATTGCCTTGTAAATGCAGTTAAACTACCTGAAAAGGAGTTCTATGTTCTTGTGAGAATTTAATAATCATCAATGCAAATTAAACTTGCACAATGTTCTTCAATAATATTGTCTTCCCAAGAGTATCCTAAAATATAGGGCAAGAAAATGTATAGAGTATTACTGACACATAATATAAGCAAATGTGCAAAAATTATGTTACTGTCCTCAGTGAGTTTTATAACTTTGATTTATTTATTACATTCTTTTTCTTTCTCAATCAAATTAAAGAAAAGCACCAATAACCAAGGAACAGTTGTCCTATTAGTTTAAAATTGGAATGAAAATATACTCTTACCTATATCATTGAGGTTCTCATAGGTCTCCAGCATCACATCTTTGTAGAGATTCTTCTGAGAAGTATCCAGCAGAGTCCACTCTTCCCAAGTGAAGTCAATATGTACATCTTTATACTTCATGGCATTCTAAAATATGACATACATGTGCACAATTTAAAGCAAAATACTAACCATATTGTATATGTGTGTTTCTGTAGAATCTTATTTTAAAATGTGTTACTTTTATGCTGTAGAAAATTTGCTTAATGAAGTAACTGTGTGTTAATTTTTTTCTGGTGTATTAGTTTAATTTTATGAAGCTGTTCTTCTTTGCCTGAATACAACAGCTGATAGTCTGATGAAGACGTTTTTATCCAATAGTGAGTCAGGAGAAAGGATAGGCTTGGTATCAGGAACAAAGTATACACAGAAGGAGAAATCTGGAAGCAAGAAGGAAGGCTCAAGAAAAAAAGAGTACAGGGCCAGCTACCCAGCCACACAACATGTCATGAAGTAGGA